AAATCATTATAGCGTAAAATTGGACTCAAAAAACCACAAAACATCGACTTTTCGGTTTTGCTGAAGGTCCAATTTTTTTCATGATAAGATAGAAAAAAAATATTTTTGCATGTGATTTTTGGCAAAAATCCAAGGAAGAAACTGATTTTCTTGGACTTTTGATAATTTTTCCCAATAGTTATTGTTAGAAAAATAAAAACGTACCGAAAATATTTTTTTTAATTTTCGGACCGGTAAACTTCCCCTGCATGTGTGAGACACATAAAAACAATCTTAGACCTTTTCTTAGTGTACCGTTCAAGGGTGCCTTTCACACGAATTGAATTCCTCCCGAACGTTATGCACGTAAGGGATTGATTCCAGGTTGGTGTGGTTTTCCTCAATGGTGTTTCATGGAACTCAAAACATCCCCTTGCGACGCGTTTCGCTCATGAAGTGTTTCAACTGCCGCCAGCTCCCACTTTTCTTGCACCATCTGTGCATTTCGGGGGTCTTCCAACCAGCTATTACTGGCAAGTATTTTGACGATTCAGCTTCTCCTTTGCCTGATACCGCTTCAACTTCTAGCTGTGTTTCCGGTTCTGCGACCTCTACACTAGCCACATCATGCCCATGCATCCGTCCTGCCAACTACCAGCAGGTTTATGCCGCCACCTGCTCTTCCTCGGATCCGAGACACCCTAAAACAGGCACTGAGGAAGCTTCCGAACCTCCCGACCCAGTCGTGCTTGCTGCAGACATCCGCCATCGTCATCGTCCCGGTTCTGTGGTCGGTGATGGTATCGGGGGCTTCCGGCCTGCAACCTCAGGCGAGTATGTTAGCGATTCCGAGCTTTCGGTACCTGATGTCTTTTCGATTTCTAGTTCCCGTGATTGCTCCTCGAATGGTCTCCTGATCTACTACCAAAACGTGCGTGGGCTGAGGACTAAAATCGACTCGTTTTTCCTGGCTGTTGTGGAGGCCGAATATGATTTGATTGTGCTGACGGAAACGTGGCTGGACGACCGAATTTACTCATCGCAACTTTTCGGGTCACTCTATTCCGTCTTCAGAACTGACCGGTCTGCTCTAAACAGTCAAAAATCGCGCGGTGGCGGAGTCCTGATTGCAGTATCTACTAGACTAGCCAGCTACGTAAGTACGTCACCCATTTCCAGTCAACTGGAACAGCTGTGGATTGTCGTAGAACTTTCACAAAGCAAGCTTAGTTTAGGCGCAATCTACCTGCCTCCCGACCGCAAAAACGACTGCACGATCATCCGTGAGCATGTGGAATCGTTAGGCTCAATTTCGTCACAATTAAGTCCCTGTTCTCCCGCTTTCATATTTGGTGACTACAATCAAGCTGGTCTGCAGTGGCGCTTTACAGACAGTGGCACACCATTAATTGATCCACTGCTTTCGCATATGCTGGTTGCTTGCTGTACTCTTTTGGACGGTTTTAACTTTTACGGGTTCACACAAGTGAATACTTTTCCGAACCGAAATGGACGTTTGCTAGATCTTGTCCTGGCAAATGATTCCGCACTACCGGGCACTTCTGTTTCCTTGCCGGTCGAGCCACTGATTGATCTAGATGCCGATCATCCCGCTCTCGTCGTGTCATTTAGTTTACCTACGCCGATTCTTTTTACGCCGTCATCTGAGTGCTACTCTTTGGACTTTCGCCGGGCCGATTATGTTGCATTGAACAGTCGCTTGCGGAAATTGATTGGCAATTTATCGAAACTGCCGCTAGCGTGAATGATGCAGTGGATTTTTTCAGTGCTGCACTGGAAGATGCTATTTTCCGCATTGTCTCAGCTCCGCTAAAGCCTACATGGTCTAACCCACGCCTACGCGTGCTAAAACGTCAACGCTCTGCCGCCCTCCGAAAGTATTGTAACTCTCGCTCGCCGTACTACAAACGACTGTTCAATTTTGCGAGTCGTAGTTATCGAAATTACAATCGTTTTCTCTATAGTCGACACGTGAGACGCACGGAAGCGAACCTTCGCACGAATCCGAAAAGTTTTTGGTCGTTTGTCAACTCCAAACGGAAGGAATCCGGGTTGCCTTGTTCCATGTTTCTCGGGAATGACTCGGCTAATAGTGAAAGAGAAAAATGCGACTTGTTTGCTTGTCATTTCAAACAAGTGTTCCACGATTTCTCCGCTTTGCCAACACAAGTGCTGGACGCTACTGTTGGGATGCCACGTGATGTGTTTAGTTTCGTTATTCCGCGCATTTCAGAAGACATGGTGATAGCCGCAACACGCAAACTGAAGCTCTCGTTCGCCGCCGGACCTGACGGCATTCCGTCATCAGTTCTAAAACGTTGTGTAGCCAATCTCTGCCTTCCACTTGCGAGGCTATTCAATCTCTCAGCACAGTAATGTGAGTTCCCCTGCAGCTGAAAACTTTCTTATCTGTTCCCAGTGCACAAAAAAGGAGATAAACGGAATGTCATAAATTATCGTGGAATCACCTCCCTGTGTGCCTGCTCAAAACTGTTCGAGATTATCATAAATGGTGCTCTGTTCGCACGCTGCAAAAATTATATCGATACAGAACAACACGGTTTCTACCCGAAGCGCTCCGTGTCCACGAACCTGGTGCAGTTCACTTCTAACTGTCTGCGATGCATGGATTCAGGATGGCAAGTCGATACTGCGTATATGGATCTAAAAGCTGCATTTGACACGGTGGACCATAATATCTTGCTGGCCAAGCTGGAGATACTTGGCATCTCGTCAACTGCTGTGGATTGGTTCAGATCTTACTTGGTGAATCGCTATGTACATGTCAAGATTGGCGCGTCGGAATCGGATGTTTTCTCAAACAACTCGGTAGTCCCGCAAGGCAGTAACCTAGGACCGCTACTATTTTCGATCTTTTTAAACGACGTCGCCTTGCTGTTACCATCAGGATGCCGCGTTTTCTATGCAGACGATACGAAAATCTACAAAATTATTAAAAGCTTCTCGGACTGCTGGGATCTCCAGAATATTTTAAGTATTTTTGCTGACTGGTGCTCAAGAAATTTGATGAGTCTAAGCATAGAAAAATGTAACATTATTTCCTACCACCGAAAAATCGAACCAATCATGTTTGACTATGTTCTCTACGGACGCTGTAGAGCACATAAAGGAGCTCGGCGTTACCTTGGACTGCAGACTCACTTTCAGAATCCACTACAATGACATCATCTCCAGAGCTAATCGACAATTGGGCTTTATTTTCAAAATTGACAACGAGTTTCGTGACCCGCTATGCCTCAGGTCACTATACTGCTCGCTTGTGCGATCCTAATTGGAGTCAAGTTCAGTTGTTTGGTGCCCTTTCCATGCTAGCTGGATCACTAGAATTGAATCCGTTCAACGCAAGTTTGTGAGATATGCTCTTCGTTTCCTCAACTGGCGTGACCCAACGAACCTGCCACCGTACGAGGAGCGTTGCCGTCTCCTGGGAATCGAGCCATTAGAGGTGAGACGGACGGTCGCTCAAGCTATGTTCGCTGGAAAGCTGCTTACAGGTGACATTGACTGTCCAACAGTGCTGTCACAGCTAAATATGTATGCCCCTGAGAGGTCTCTTCGTCAACACGACTTTCTGTTTTTGGAACCACGGAGCCGGAATTATACACAACACGAGCCAATTCGAGCAATCAGCCGACAATTCAACAACTTTTTTTATATGTTCGACTTTAATGTATCAGCTGACGTGTTTCGTCATCGGCTACTTGGCCTTTTCCGTACCGTTGACCCTAACTATTTAGTTTAAGTTTTATTCATTTAGACAATAATTGTCAGTTGAATTTTTAAATAAATAAACAAATAAACAAATAAACAAATAAACAAATTTCAAATATGATTGATCAACTTATCCATTCCGGTTCGCGACCAAATAATGTTCGGATATTGCCGTTTCAGGGAAAATAATTCGACGCAACTGACAGCCACAGCATGCTAAAAGCTGATAATCTGACACCAAATGCTAATTTTTCTCTGAACTGGTACGATAAAACTATCAACAACACCCGATGGAGCCCGAAGACGAGAAAACAAACCGCTATCAACCTAGCAAATACAAACTTTATTTTCACGACTTGTTGTTTTTGTCTTATGGCCATGAATTTGAATAATAGAAGAAAAACGCATTGGAAGACTGCCCAAATCATCGAGATAGGGAGAAATATCGAGATATCGATCATCGAGAACTGAAGAGTCGACTGTATAAAATTTCCCCTTCTTTAGATCACATGATATTATTATATTTTTTGTTTTAATTTCTGGGTAGTAGGGCATTCTGGGTAATGATCATCCAGGATAACAGCGTTCAGAGTAGTGACATTCGGGGCTATGTCATAGAGTCAATATTAGCATGTATCTGAGAATCATATGTATTTCGGTAGAATCAAAATGTACAGTTAAATCACAGACAAACAGACGAAATCTGCACATTTAACGATTGGTTTGAATGTTATCGTTTCCGCGAACTACTCGCCGCAGCGCTGGCATCGGATCACTTTGACGTTTCTATATATTCGGTTTTTCTTGCATGCAACATTGTTTGCGAATCAGCGAGCAAGCTTGTTTTCCGCGAGAAGCCCGCGAGATGTCGTTGCTGCAGTTCTATGTTTGGCGGTACTATGTTTTGAAGATAATTTTATTCAAATAGTTACGTCTGTTTGTCTGTGGTAAAATTTCGAAAAAAAAAACGCGGAATGCATGTGTATAGCAACGAACACAATTATTGTTGGGCAAAATAAAATAATTATATTTAGGATGGAAATCCTGCTACACTTTCCGCTACATTTGTATCCGGTAATATAGACTGGAATCCGTCTTTCACTTTCACTGTTTTAATTACTGGTTGGTTACTACATGATAAAACAGTCTACAGCCATTAAAAACCACACATCAATACTATGCACCACATGCCCAAACTTTGTTGAATTTACAAATAATGACAATGAAGTTTAAGACATCTGCAAATAATAGATCTACATCATTCTTACCTCCATGCTCAAAATATTCCTGCGAATCTGAAGGCGATTGTGCGCCTTCCGCAACTGTTGGTAACACAAGATCCGGTTCCGAACTAGAGACACACTGAACCATAGCCTAAAACAGATAACCGGTTATTAGAAAAAATAAAAGCAGCATACCTAATAGATAACAGTACCATGTTCATGCTATCCGCACTGCCAGCACTCTTCTCGCTCGACGCACAATCCGGGCTGTTGGGACTGTGCGTCGTCGTGTCGGGGGGTGACGCCGTACCAGACAGATACGACGAATGGCTCTTCTGTGGCTGATGCATCGGTGGTTGAGGAGTTGTGGGCAGCGAAGGACTCTCGCTAGCCGTACTATTGCTATCGGTGCTCGTGTTTAGATTCGCTGCAGTTTGAACCTGAACAGGTTGATGAACGATAGGTTGCTGTTGAACAATGGTTGTATTTTGTTGAACAAACGAATTAGCAGCAGGTCCAGCCTGCTGCTGAGGAACGACTATGTTGACAGGTCCTCCGTAGATTTGAGCACCCATTGGACTAACTTGGCCATTGTTGTTCACAATGAACTGCTGGCCGGTATGTGGGGAAATGAAACTCTTTTGCTGATGAGGACTTTGGGCTCGTATCACCATTCCCTGGGGAGTCGTTATTATGCTTCCGCATGGAGTAGCAACATTTTGAATTTGAACTAATGTGGCATCCGGTGTCATTACCAAACCGGCAGGTAACAATACTTGTTGACTAATTATGTTGTACGGTTGGGTGATAATTTGCCCATTTTGAAGAAGGATTTGCTGCTGTTGCTGATGTTGCTGTGGGTTTTTATTTGGGACAATTGTGAGCCCTGAGATTCCAGAACTCAACTGGAAGCTTTGCGTGGAATACTGAGGAGCAAGCTGTAGCATTGTACCAGCTTGGTTGACTGATTGAATAGCTTGTTGTTGGATTGTAGCTTGCTGTTGATGCTGCTGCGGGGGATGCGGTGCGGTAATTTGGACTGTTTGTGTCTGATGGGAAATGCTACCCGGTGAAATAGTAGCACTTCCCGATCCGCTGCTTTTTCGCTTTTTGGCTTTTCTCTTAGAATCAGGTGAAAGTAAAATTTGACGCTGTTGGTTTTGGTGTTGCACAAAGGAGGTGGTGGTACCATCCTGATTAACAACCTGATTAACTATTTGTCCTCCGTCGGCAACTGAACTATAGTTTGGTTGAATGACAATACTATTTGGAGGTAGACTGTTCAATACCATCGTTGTGCCGGATTGTTGAGAAATAACACCACCGGTATTGGACTGCATGGACGACGCCCCGTTGTTGTTGGCATTCAGCAGGTGATTGGAAATCAAACCTCCGTTTCCTGCATTGGATATCACTTTCGATGCTAGATTTGACCCTGCTGTTGCCGTCGTGAGGACATTCCCCGAATGGATTACTTGCGAATTATTGGGTGAGGTCAGGATTTGTTGTCCTGTTTGTTGAATTACGTTTCCATTATTCAATATCACAGTCGATTGCATATTATTTGGGGAGTTGATCAAGAAGTTGGAATTTGCATTCGGTTGGGCGGGATGAATGATGTTATGTTGTTGTTGTTGTTGGTGCTGCTGCTGGGCAATGCTTTGCATAATTCCACTGTTATTTGCACTCATGTTGGTCGCAACAGTGGTGACAGTGCCCGCTGGACCAGCAATGTTCATGTACTGCGTGTTATTGCCTCCCACCATCGATTGCTGCTGAGTTATCAGATTTGACGGAGCACCACTGTGGGCAGAATTGTTACTAACAACAACTTGACCAGAATTTTTATTCGGTTGTGCCGACATCACGATTATCTGCCCACTAGAAGTCATCAGAACCTGTTGTGGCTGAGTCAGTAGCTGACCTTGTTGTGTAGTTTGATGCGTAAACCCTATGCGGAAAAATAAAGCCAACGAAAATTTAATTAGTTCATTCGAAAGGTAGCAACCAGCAACAACCGAACTCCAATGTCATGTTAAAATGTTTTAGCTATGTTTTAAGCTAGCTTTCCGCATAATATAACTGTACCCGATATACACTACAGTCAGTCAAATAGATTGGTGTGAGAAACTAATGATCAACTAATAAAAGAATTAAAAATAATGTGATAGCATATTTTGATCATTTTGCCAATAATCACGAAAATAGTGAGGCGCGAAAGAACGCTCATGTTTAAAAGAAGAAAAAATCCTTGAAAATGTTACATATTGAATTCTTACCCAATGTCGAACCCTAATCTTCGAGAATTCAGTGAAAATGTAAAATTTATTCCATACCGAAAAAATCCATGCCACATAGATTGGTGTACGGAGAGAACGAGCAGATTTTGAAAGAAGGAAAATGAATGTGATGGTATATTTTATCCGTGATGCTAGCCGCCTCAAAAAAAAAAAACCAAGTCCGAACAGTCAAAATCTAAAGTACTCAAATCTAAGTCCGAATCGAAGTAGGTACACGATTTAATATGTAATATCAAAATCACTGTACTGTCTGTAGGGTCGGGTGGGGCAAGAGTGCCACCTTAACAATTGTACGTTCTATATATGCCATGTAGTGGATATTTATAGGAGTTTCTACATCGTATTGCAACTTCATATTATTGCCTTCATATATCAGCAATTTAATGCAAATTATATCTCGTCAAAAGTTGTTTACGATTTTTTCAAAATGTCATCTCAATTTTTTTAAACTGCAATGGGACAAGAGCGCCATCCCCTATGGGGCAAAAGGACCATGCGTCTTAAGTTGAGTGAAACCGATTAATGCTTATTTATAAACATAGCCTTTTGATTATTAATCATACTAGCAACAGCTGCTATTGTTTACACAATTTAACTATTGAATTTTACAATATTATACAATACATAACAAACGAACTGTGTTTAGCAATGAAATCAAATGAAAACTATTGTTGTTGATATTTTATGTAGCTGGTTTTGTCAAATTTGGTGAAAACAAATGTTTCTTCGGGAATTCAGTGGTCGAAAATAAAATTCGGTGGACTGTAATTTGTCGGATTGGGTTTGAACTTCCGTACTTCACGACGGTCTTTATTTAAGTGAAAATTAAACTCTTGCTCCTACCTTCCCTGCGCTAACCGGAATTACATGTTGCAAGAAAAAATCAAGCTAATCTAACTGTCAAAACAATCAGGGGGATAAGCCTGCACTACACGGTAAACATTAGTTAGGCAAAATATATTGCACACTCAATTTTTGGGTAAACAACAAACTTACCAAAGACTTAAATGAGAAATGAAGCAATTTCTTTTACATTTTTGTATAATTTTATTAATAAATGGCACTCTTGCCCCGTGTGAGGTTCATTTTTAAGAAAATCATTTTTGACCAATTATAGGTACCAATTATTGATGTTTCAATTAATCATTATTAGCGATACCTCAATGCAGGGATTGTAGGAAACAATATTTGGAAATTCCAAAATCCTTATTTATGATGTCTAATTATTATAAGTAATTTCGATTTTTGAAACATCAGCCCAAAATGATTTTTTTGCAATTTTTGTAATTTCATGTTGGACAAAACTTTCTATAATGCTAATGCTACATAGGAACACCATTCATAGTTTCATGGCTGAATAAGCATTGAAAACATGTTTATTTTCAAAATTATAGGGGGTGGCACTCTTGCCCCACCCGACCCTACATTGTTATACGACTTCTGATTGTCTGGGAAGCTCGTTAAAATGTAGGTATTTAAGTATGGGTAGGCTGGCAATCTTTCGACCTGATGACCATTCGGCCTAATGACCGTCGGCCTAATACGTCTAGTTTGATTGTTAGGATGTCTTCAGAAATATTATGCATAATTATGATGCGATTATTGAAAAAATATTCCCTGTTAAATTTGAAATAAGCGAAATTTTCAAAGTAATCATAACTATTTTGTTTATGATTTTACCATTACCAAAAGTACCAAAAAATAGCAAACATTATGAACTTCACTGCTACAAAAAATTAAATGTATCAAAAATGAACTTTTTGGGAAATAAATTTTTTAATAACTAATTTAATTTTTTTCATCGAAATAAAAAAAAAATCACAGTGAATATTTTTTACAGAATTGCCAAATTAGTGTCTACAATTTTGCTGAAGAAGAAAATAGATATCAATCGAACAAACCGTTTCGACAATATTTATATTTCATCTTATTAGTACTGTTTTTACACCGACCCTGTTGGAAAACTAGTCGTGACCCAATATGAAGAATTGATAACTTAAAATGCCATTTTTACTAAAAAAGAATAACTGTGAAAAATTCCAGCTAAATTGAAAATGATCGTTCAGTATCACTAAGGGACAGTTGAAAATCTTACTTTTACCCCTCAATAAATGAACTAACCATTACATTGTGAAAATAGTACCAATGAGTTGTCTAAAGATCAGTACTCGATTAGTAAGCAGAAATGAGAAAAATCTGCTGCAGAACTTTGAATATAGGTCAATTTACCATGTCAATGACAGTTGCGTACTGACATTGCGGCGAGTGACATTGATATTGGAACTATGTGAGCTGATACTTGTGGCTAGTGCAAATCAGCATTTTGTACGTATTGATATTGATATTTTGCAGCACTGATGGTGAGAGAGAGGACTTTCGTCTCACAAAACTAAAAATATTCAAAATACAGGCTCGAAAAACTATTTAGGATTCTCAATAAAATTATTTAGAAAAAATTCACGATCCTGACAAAAATCAGGAAATGTTACGAATTCCGAGTTTGAATACTTAATATTCAATATTCTAAGAAACCCAGTAAACCAAATTAACAATTTTTCTTCAAAGATGCATTTGGACGATAGGGTAGGTGAGAACTCGGAAGATAGGGGAAATGGATGTAATGTCGGCCTAAATGCCCCATAATTTGGGCCCATACATAAATTCAACAATCGACTAAATTTTCAATAGCGACCAAAATTATCCATTAGTACCGTCTCAATGACGCGTTCATCTAGATAAAATGGATAATTAGAAGATTTTTAGCGATGGGCCCAATCTTAGATCGAAAGGCCAACATTAGAGCCATTTCCGCTATATGCAATTTGTTTGCAAATTTCTTCCAAGAAATCTATACTACGTTTTCAGAAGAGGACCGTGACCGTCAATATTTTGGATCTTATCAAGAATTTTCAAGTGACATCAAATCAACGTTCAAGATATCTTAAAGGGTTTAAAAAAATTAGATGCATCTAAAGGTTCTGGCCCTGGCGGAGTTCCTCATATTTTTATGAAAACTTTAGCAACTGAACTTACTGCTCCATTATTTTGGATTTTCAATATGTTATTGGTATCCAGAATCTTCACTAAAATATGTTTTAGTGCCTATCTTTAAATCCGTCAAAAAATCTGACATACGTTATTATCGTGGTATAGCCATTATCTCTTGCATCCCTGCATCTTTTCGAGGCAATTGTAAATGAAAATGTTTCTTCATATTAATAACAGAATAACTACTATGCAACACGGCTTTTTTAAAGGCTGTTCACCAACTACGAATTTGCTCGAATTAATTAATTATTCCTTGAATGCAATGGATAACGAAAACTATGATCGAATTGAAATACCTGTGCTTCTCTTTAAGCTTAAAAAATGGGAATTCGTTCAGCACTCCTCAAATAGCTTGAATCATATTCAACTAATCGTTATCAAATAGTAAAATACAAAGGAAAAACATGAAATCCCATTGAAATAATAGAGTCCGTTCAGAAGCAGTTTCTATTGTATGCACTCCGCAAGTTAGGTTGGACTGTATTTCCTCTGCCATCTTACACAGCTCGATGTATGCTGATAAATATCCAAACATTAAAACGATATCGTATCACATCGCATTGATTCAATAGAACCATTGTCATCCTTAAATGAATATACACCATCTAGGCATCTACGAAATAGAAATATATTTACTACAAAGCGCCATCGTACGAATTATGCCAAATTTGGACCCTTGAACCAAATGATGGACACATACGATAACATTGACTTTACAATGACAAAAACCTAATTAAAGCAATACTTTAATTCCTCTCATGACGTTCGCAAATAGGAGTTTTTTTAAATCTGTTTTCAAGACATACATAGGTATTAACATTTATAAAGCAAAGATAAAATTGTAAAAAATAGCACTTAAGCGAAGACATCATATCAAGAAGACTGGAAGCTTTGCGACCAAGCGACAGATGCAATAGCGCTGCGCTTGAGTGAAGGTGGAAGCAACGTATGTATAGAAAAATGAGCAAATACACAAACCTTTCTTCTGAGGATGTAATCTTTGCTATCAAATTCGTTCGAAGCATTTACCTTTGAGCGGCAGATGACGCGATTCTCTCATAGCGTTCGTATGAGAAAATGGAAGAATTTCCAGTCTTCTTGATTTGTTGTCTTCGACTTAAGGCAACTATTGTAAAACGGTCTACACTGATTGACGACAAATAAAAACAAAAACATATTTTAAGATTTCAATCAAGTGCCCGATTCCCCAATTCAAAAACCACAACAATTTCTGTATTTTTTGAAAATAATCATGTACACAGCCAATGAGAGTAGCTCAGTAACTGAGCCGAATTCAACTCATAATTTCAAAAAGTGTGGTTACTCAGTAATTGAGCAACATTTTCCTCACTTTTCCGGGAAAAACTTCTTGAATGTGAGCAAAATCGATCACAAAAAGTATACTAATAGACTGAGTGAAATATCTATCGATTTTCTTCATATATGTACAAGCAGCTTTCCCTGGAAAATCGAGGAAAATTAAACTAATTCTCTGAGTAACCCCACTTTTTTCAATGTTTAGTCATCGACTCAATTTTGAGTTAGTCTCATTGGCCGTGTAGGTATTTGTGTTTGATGAAAAACAACTTAATTATCTACAAGACAACCATACATTGCAATCAATGATATATATGCAAAATTTCTTAGGAAGACAAAGTTTTTTACACCCACAAAGTTTCATTGAAATCTGAGTTGGCGTGAAATACATCTATAACTACTTTATGGCTGTAAAGTGCACCTGTCATTTGCGTAAAATGGTTCACATGTAACGTTGTAAAAATTTCATGAATATTTCAAGGATTTGAGTGGTGGTAATTTTGAACTGGAAAATTTACTCCAAAGTGTAGGAAATATATTAATAATATCATACCGTGAACTAAGCCTGGCGAATTAGATGATACATTGCTTTGTACTATCACTTTTTCATTTTCCGGTTCTCTGGACAGATCGGCTTTCATAGCCTTGTTCACAGAACCAATAACAGGTTTACCACCGGTGTGAATCGTGGCTATCGTATTGCGTAAAGGTCCAGCAGTTATGAAGCTTTGATTTTTGGACACATTAACGCCAACGCTGCTGACTTGACCGAGATTTCGAAGTCCGTACATTTCAGGAGATTCGGATCGGATTACACCTACGCTAGTTTGAAACAATGGACTGCGGTTGCTAGTAGACACAGTTCCTCCTTGAACTGGACCTTTCGGATCAGGAGTGATAGAAGAGGTGGATGTTATGTCAGGAGTTCGACTTGTTATCATCGTAATGGCACCTGAAGATACAGGGGATCTCGCTTTGGATGCATCTTCATCTGTGATGCTTTGTTGCTGCTGCTGCTGCTGATGTTGCTGCAGCAGTTGGATTTGTTCGTGGTGCTGTCGAATGAGTTGACTTTGTCGTTGTAACTGCTGTTGGAATTGGAGTTGTTGTTGAAATTTCATATGACTAATATCACAGTTCTGCTGCACCTGAACCATGCCATTTGCTACATGGGTCACGGTTTGACCACCTATGGTAGTCGTGTTGCTGCTTACAATGCCTCTTTCTGCTCTTTCGGACGATTCTTTCCCTTCTCCACTATCGAAACCAACCACCGTTTTGAGCTGTGGACTTTCCTGAGAAGACGACGACCCATCCGGGCTGTGTAGGGTTGAAATAGAACTATGAAGGATGGCTGTTTGTTGATTAAGGTACCCCGTAGGATCATCTTTGAAATTTGGCCGCTTCTTGGATATCGACTTCACTTTACCATCCTCCAATGGCACTCGCAGGCCTTCATTTGTCCAACCAGGCGGGTTAGGTGACTCGCTGATTGCTCTACTACTTTTGACTATTTGCTCGTTTTGATTTATACTTTGTACGGGACTTTTCAGTGGCACTGCGCTCGAGGGAGACTGCATTTGGCGTTGATTTACGACAACCGTGACGGGATTTGAAGGTGCTGAACCAGAAGACGTGGAACACGCATTCTTTCGCCACGGTGGGGTTTTAGATAGTGGAATACTGGTGATATCCTTATCACTTTGATGAAGCGCATTTTGGCCTAACGATGCTCCTTGATTTGAACTAACATTTGTGGAAATGGAAAGCCTCACGTCGTGCATTGGTAAAGAAGCAGGTTCTACTTGTGGAAGTGTTGGATGTTGATCTGAAGTTGAAAATTAACAAAAGAACAGTTCCTTAGATTTCTATATGTTTTAAATGAACTTAACATTTGATAAATTTAAATTGATAAACGAACATAGCATCTTACCTGTTTTCGCACTATCAGTGCTCAAGGTTTTCTTCCCCCGCCGAACAAGTTCTACCTTTTCCATGTATCGTGTATGATGTAAACAGAAATTGTGAGGTATATTGCTGTTAATGTCCAACGTTGCATTAGGAACCTAAAGAAGAAGTAAAATATATATTTAATAATTAATTTAAAAAATGCGAACATTTATCAACGATATTGGATTGCTTATTTTTCGTATATCCTTCGGAAGATTCTTCCAACTTGCTCCGGAAAAATAGTTTCTTCTAACTTCCACTAGGAAGTACTATTTGAAAGCTTTGGCGACTGAAACATTTTCATTTACTTTAATGAAGCGGATTATCAGTTCCCAGGAACCGTCATAAACCGGGGTCAAACTGATCACGATTTTCAGTAATAGGGGAAATGGATGTAATGTCGGCCTCTAATTTGGGCCCATGCATAAGTTCAGCAATCGATTAAATTTTCAATAGCGACCAAAAATATCCATTAGTACCGTCCAATGACGCGTTCATCTTGATAAAATTGATAAATAGCAGATTTTTAACGATGGGCCCAATTTTAGATCCATAGGCCAACATTAGAGCCATTTACCCTATGTGAATATTTTCTTTGCTTGTAATTTATTTTCAATTCATTTATGTTTTAAACCAGTACTGGTGAACAGGTAACAAACCCTAGTAATTTGTTAAACTATTTACGTATGACGTCCATAATTATTCTTCGAAAAATTGAAAATACTGCTTTGGGGTGGAATTAATCAACAGTTTTTTGATTGATTGTTATGACTTGTTCCATTAGTTGATGCAGTTATTTTATTATCACTTTGGCTTACCGTATGTCTGCAAAATGTGAGTTGATGTGATTACAACTAATAAGTATCATTCATATGTTTATTATCCACTATACATGTAGGAACAAAAAAGAAGCTCAGATTAATGTAGAATTACCAATGATTTTAAAACCAACATGCGTTTGCGTTGCGTTACGTTTGTAACGGAGTAAATCAAGCATGCGATGCGATCATAGTAATTGTTTGGTTTTAAAGGAGCTAGGGAGTAAACCCAAGATCTTCTGCTTAGTAAGCAAAAGCGGCATTCGCCAAGCTAGCCGAGCTTCTCAATTTAAATTCCAATCCTGTATAAAATAAAGGAGGATCTCATCTGAATTATCAAACTTACTCCAGCCATGTGTGATAAAAATACCTAAAGGTGGCGCACTCGCGACTATTTATATCATACTGCAGTTAAACAAACACTATCGATCAATGATTTTAAAACCAACTTATTGATAAATATTGGTAAAACGTGCCTTTAAATCAAAGTGCAATAATAAATCTTCAAAAACATTCAATTATTTTCAGCAGTTTGTTCGATCAATTTCACCCCACTGATTAATTTACCCCTAGTTTACGGTAATTGTTTCAAGTTGTAATCAAATCTATAAACCCAAAACATATTCTTTCTGATTTTTTTTTGTATTATAGTCACTTTAACACATTAGGTCCTTGACTAAGATTTGAACTCGTAACCTTTAGGCATGGATGCTACGGCGGGCTGTCCGCATTTTTACTTATCATAAACTGAATTTAGACTATATTTAGGCTGAATAAGCTTCTATTTGCATGAATAAGCTACTATAGAGCTATCAATTTTGAATAGGGAACTCGAAGCGTTCATCGGCACGCGTTCCTTGAGAGCTCGTGTTCTCTGCCGAACTAATGTTTACTGTGTACACCGAACGTGAGAGCCTGATGCTGAACCTGATGCAGATGTACTCAGGCTCAAAACATCAACTCACGTTTAAACATCGGTATCGGGCTCAGAGATACTTCTTTTGCAAATCAGATTTGTTTTAGCATTATCAGCTTTAATAGCATGCTGCGGTTATCAGTTGCGTTGTATTTTTTCCCCTGAGATGGCAATACATTTCTAATGATGACGCTTTTTTGCATCCGAAGGCAAGTGGTTGCTATAGAAACAGTACACAATGGGAAAAAAAGGTACAGTACTACCTAGGTGCATAAAATTTCCAATGTTGAGACTTTAGAACAAATGTCCAACAATTTTTCCGGAGATGAACTAGCCATAGGCTAAAAATCTCCTTAAGAAAGAATAAAAAAAGTCCAACAAAATATATTTAGATAAGATTTAGATTTAGTTTTTAGTTTTAAGATGACAATTGTCAGTGGCGTCCCGTAACCTCACTTTTTACCTTTCAAAACTAGATTTAATGCCATATTCATATACGAATCGGTTGAAAAATACATTTAATCTTCTAGTTTACACGATATCTATCACTTGCAAGCAATATGTTGATAATTGTTTGTTTTGAGAGTTGGTGCACAGATATTTGTTATACAATTGTTATACTGAGATGCATGATCATCGGTGTCATTGCTTAATTTTGTTGGAATCCAATTTTGACTGACAAAGGAGCGCGTGTTCTCAGTCTTCGAAAAGTATAAACAGTGGGACCTTTCAATTGGAATCGATTCCTTGCGATAAAGGCAAGAATGACAAATATATCAAAACCGAATACTTCATTATTTCTTAATAGTGATGGATTAATACGAAATGCACTAAACTAAGGGCACAGGATATACTACTATAGATCAAATGGTCGCAGTGGTTTTATGTCCCTAACAGAGGAAAAAAAGGCCGATTTGTGGGATGTTTGGTGGTTCGAAATCTTTAATCGCGTTTATCTTTCTTAAATTGCGATTTTTCATCGTGCCGATAAGGGTGGAAGTATTTGCGCGTGAATTTTCGAAATCTTTGTTCAGTTTTTTTTTACATAGAAATAAAGACCCAATTTACTTTTTCCATTGATTTAACATGGTCACGACGCAAAGTAGTATTGAGCGAAAACCTAAAACTTAAAAACCACACAAAATTATCACCCCTATTCTGTATTTCGTTTCGAACGAAATTCTCATACAAAAAAATATTTCTTTGTATGAGAATTTCGTTTGAAACGAAATACAGAATAGGGGTGTATAACTCAAAAACGAAAAAAAAACGCTTCGCTAATTTTTTATATACTGTGTAAAAAATTCTAAATTGTCAAGGAAAAATATAAAAACGTATTGCGCCCTCTGTCTACAAACCATGAAGATCATAAAAAACAAATACAACCAATGTTTGTCAATACAAAATCCAATTTTTTTAATATCATTATTTGATATTTTGATCTTTGAAATCGGCCCATTGGTTCAAAGTGTTGAAAAAAGTCATTTTTGAAAAAAAAAGATTTTATGGCCAACCCTAACATGGAAATGGTCAACTATATGACAAAATAAAATAAAAAATCGGGTCTCATATTTTGCGATAAGAAAGAAAACTACCAATTTTTATGAAATTCTGAGCAGAGCTGGTAAATATCACAGTCGTCATATGAGAAAACAGGTCCTCTCACTATCACGAGACGAAACTACTTATAATTAGCTTTCTTGTCATTTTCCAATGATCAAGACCTCATGAGAATAATTCTCGCCTAACTTTTCAAAAGGTCCTATCTAACATTTCACTCTTTTCGAGAAAAACGAGGTTGAAGATTGACAAAATCTTTTTTGATACTATTTTAAACCAAATCAACTTTTGACATTTTTAAGACCTTTAATAGTAAAATGCGATAGTAAAATTGAAATTGAAATTATAATCTACCCGTTTCTTACATTTTTTTTCAATGAAAACGTAAAAAATGTTACATAGGACATTTTGCTCTTGTCAGGTGTACATTGGACATGTTATATAGGACGTTTTGTTATAATCACAGTTACATAGGTCATTTATGTTTTCAACATTATTGTTTTGTTTTTAAGCATTATGAGTGCATAATTTAAGTTATACGAGTTGAAAAAAAAAGTCTCTGTGTTTTTATGGATTTTATCAAATTTGAACGATTAAAAAAACTCTAAAATTGATTGTGTAAAAATAAAATCTTATTCCGGATTTGTATCTGAAGGACAAAAATTGGAAGAGGCTGATAGGCAAACAGAAGGTCATCAAGATGGAGTGAATCAAGCGAGTTGGTCGCCGGTAAGGGCCAGTAAGTGCTGCCAGCAGATGAATCAAGAGGTATTCGAAACAAAATTGGTAAGAAATGTCCATTCAAATCGATTTAATGCAGTTGAACAAATTTCAAAACTATATACGTGCCAGATTTGGAAATAATATTTTTTGAATCTGGAAGTGTGTTTATGATACCATTATCCATTTGATAAAGGTAGAGTGAACATGCGGGGCTTATTGTAAGTAAAAGTGACCTCGGAGTGGTCGTGAATTACCAGGCATTCTGAAATGGGTCACTGGAGCTGCAATAGAGCTAACACCTTCTAACTCCCGGACTAAACCTGCTTTAATTTAAGGGTAATAAAAAGCAGTTTTCTTCCATAATAACACTGCCGGACAGTGGGGGTTAGATTGTACACACACACACACACACAGAATTTAAGTTATACGAGTTAAACGAACAATATGAGTATTGGACAATGCATCAGCTTTTTTTTTAACGGTATATCGCAACACTGCCCACAGATTGTTTTGGTCAATCGTTGGTGGTCACGTGAGCTGCTTTTTATTTGATAACAGTGTTATTTTAGGGGCGTAGACAGCTTTTCGGTATGCTTGACCCCCCCCCCCCCCTTCCCCATGCGTAGACAATTGTCCATATAAAAATTTTAAAATTTGTATGGGCCGTGGATAATTGTCAACCCCCCTCCACCTCCCCCCCGGCGGAAATAGTAGAAAAATTCTTGACATGAAAATTCCGATGTGAACAATCACATTGTTTTGGTTTGTTTGAACATTTTAGGCGTTTTACTCGTATAAACACAAAGGACCGAAGTACAGATCTGCACTGTTTTGGTTTTTCTGATCCTTCAGACGTTTGTCTTGATGAACATAGTCAAACGTCTTATGTTACAGTGAAACATCGTTAATGCAAATTTTTACTTCAGACGTTTTGTTAATTTAGAATTTTCTCAATTCAATTGACATTAATCTAAATGTGTAAGTGTGCATAATGTTCTTAGGTACAAATGTTACAATGTGCATTTATAAACTCGATTTGTTTACATTTGTTACTTGGGACCTTTTGAAAAGTTAGGCGAGAATTCTTATGCGGTATTGA